CAGTTTCATATACCCTTTTTTAAATTTATATACCCTTGCGATAACAAACCCTTCGACTCATATACCCTCCATAGGGTATATGACACACGTATAAACCCTTCAAGGGTTTATAGAAAAAAAATCAAGGGCAAGCGTTCATTATTCTGCCCTTTTTTTACAGTGTACTGCTGCACTGGAATCATCCATATCGAACTTCTTGTACGTTGGCTTTGACATTTCTCGAGTGTTTGATCCACGATTTGTTTGATTAGGCTGTGCGTCGACCATTCTATCGGTTATCAACAGTAGGGAATGTGATAGTCGCTGAGTAGTAACTAGTACAAACGATCGGAGGGTATAGATGAATTTTTCAGAGCAGCGGGCTCAAAAATATTTTTTATATTTTTCTTAACCTTTTATTAAATTTTCAGAAAAACGGAGCTCTGCCATACATACTTTTGCATCTCAAACTTAGGGTGTTACTTTACCTTTACTTTATTCTTAAGGATAAAAATTTACTTTATATTTATTTGAAGAAAAAATAACGATTTCTTTATTTCTTTGTCTTTATTTTTATAAAATTAAATTAAAGATAATCTTTATTCGTAAAAATACAGTTAAACTAAAGAATAAAGAATGACTTGGATAAATTACAAAAAAATAATGATTTTATAATAACAATAAACCTATAATCATTGAAAGCTATTCCAAAGGATTATTTTTGTCCATTGAAAAATAAATACAACGTATAATACGTAAAAAGCAACAATATACTAATATATTTCTTTATTTCAAGGAATTGCTTTTTTAAATCATATGTTAGTTATGCCAATAAATTATTTTGTAATAATTGAAGCGAAAATGAAATCTCACTCATAACTTTTTCCGTTAGTTATAGGGTATCGATAGTGTGTGGGTATCTACGCTGTTACATTCCTATGCCAAAGCCTTCAATCACACATCAGCCACTCGAGCACAGACACTCCAACCCATACCAATAATCCTAGCTTCAGACAATCAATATTCTCACAGTACAAAATATTTGTTAATTGACATCCTCTGTTGTTAATAATAGTGATTTATTTATTTTGCTGCAATTTACAAAAGCCATTCTTTATTTTTACAAATAAAGATTTACTTTATCTTTATTTTTAAAGTAAATATTATCTTTATTCTTTATGAAATAAAGATAAAGACTTTCTTTTCTCTATAAAATAAAGACAAAGATTTTCTTCACTTTATTCTTTATCATAAAGAAACATAAAATTAAAGTAACACCCATATCTCAAACAACTTTCAATAGCATAAATGATACAGTGTCTATGGGAAAACTTAGTATGCAGCTATAATGCGAAGTTTGTTTTTATCAAAGTACCCCAGAAATATTTTATCGAGTTATTGTGCTATCAAATTCTATGAGAGAAAAATAATTCTACCATCATTCACTGTTGTAGTCTGTGAATTGATTCTCACTTCTCTTTCACACTGTTTTAATAGTTTATTTTGCTATTGTCAAAGCTGTGCCTCAGATCTAAATTTATTTTATCTGACATTCAACATGTAATAATGGTGCAATTTTTCTAGTCTAGTTATTTATGGGAGAACGGAGGATATCAGAATATACCCGCTCAATAGTGTTTGTGTATGCCAGTAATAGTTGCATCAATTGAACCATTATCTCTTTTTAATAAAAGTATGGCATATACAATAAATCAAACCTTATGCTCGTAATAAAAATCTTAGTAACAACTACTGCATGATTATAGATAAAAAGAGTTTTGACCTAATTTCCTGATTCATTTAAGTGAGACTCCTTCATTATCCACCTTCGGCAAGTTTTTTATGACATATTTCAATCATCATACGCGGAGTACAAACTTTCTGTATCAGAAAAGCTTGCAAATTGCTTTTTATAATAAAGTCTCTGTCGCGAAACTATAAGAACGTTAAGAAAATGATTCTCTATCATTTTTAGACTCCACTAACAAAATAGGATCTAGTTTTTTCTTCATGATTATGATTGTGCCATACGTATTGACGAATATACTTGAAAAATGTGACTGCCGGAGGAAAGAGAACTCTGGTTTGCCTGCTTTATTAATTCAGTGCAGTAAATAACTCATATAGAATAAGAAAAACCACGAACAGTTCATGTCAGTGCACCGTCAGTCCAGTTCAGTCTGACTATTTCAGACCAGCTCTAGCACTAATCTGGAAAACCATCCGGCTGTGTTTCTAAATAGTTTATAATGCGAAACAAACCTGATGAAACACAGAATGACGATGAAGTAATGAGTTATTCTCACATTCTATTCTAAGAGTGTTCGTTTCTTCTTTAGTCGTGCACATCATGGCCTGGTGAGATAAGTAACTTCAATTTACCTTGCTCTACGGCAGTGAATACGTTTGCTTGAAGAATCCCTCATTCAGTTAACTTTTTGCAAAAAGATAAATTAAATTTCATCTTAAAGAGTAGAGGCATGCTGGTAGGGTATAGGCCAGATGTGCACATGCATCAAAACGGCAGATCAGACTTACACGCAACATCCACATTCACAACGGTGGGAGTCAGTGTTTCAAATGAGTTAATTCTACAAACTCGACATAGTAGTAATATTTCTGATAGCAAGTGGATGTGAGTATGGGCGAGGGTGTGGGCGTAGGTGGGGTGTGGGATGTAGGTGTGGGTGTGTTGGTGGATCTGTGTATGAATGTTATATTCTATCACACCCGCACCCACACCCATCTGTAATATCTTTAATTGAAGCTTGTTGGTCTCCTTTAAATTTAACAATAATCGGTGAAAATATTATTTTCAAGTTAGCTGTACGATGAGTCATATGTTGCTGAACAAAATCTGTTTTTTCATTTTTATCTGTTTGTTGTTGAAAAGATGGTGATCTATAACTTCTAGGACGTTTATTAGTGGTCCTGTCAACACCTTGATTCCGGTTTTGTATCGGTGTTTGCTGTTGATGTATAATCAGTTCCATCGATGGTTCATATTTCTCAGTATTACTCATAGCGAGAGATATAACGAAAGCAAAGGAAATAAGTTGTGACTATCTTGTAAGGTTGTAATAAGCGAATGAACATTTTAAGTTATACAATATCTTTTTTTTACAAAAAATAGTTTCCCATCTCTTGAAAGTCATTTAGTATAGAACTCGTTCAGATATTATCGAGCTTCTTAAATATTAATCAAAATCGAAATTCTACAACTGAATAAAATCATCCTATACAATAACCTCGAGTTCAAGCTGAGTAAATCAAAGATATATCTATTGACACATTAAAGCTACAATTATCACTCGCAACGACTTTAGAAGGTTTCATAGACACTGCTGACAAATTTTAATTTTCAGCAGACACTGTGCCTATCCTTTTTATGTTGCAAAAGACTGAATATGCCGTCAATTGGTAAAGTTGAAAACCTCACTAAAGTGGTTAAAATATTATAAAAACACACTGTTTTTAACACCTTTTTGTGAAAAACAGTTGGAAATTTTCATTTAGTACTTTTGTTTGAAAATTTAAAATTCAGATCTTTTTTTTCTGTTTGAATTCAATAGGGTATGGGTGTGGGGTGTAAGTAGTAGGTATGCACCAAACCCGGGCACAAACCGGGTAGTTCGGGTCAGTACTTGGATTCTCTGGTCTACTTATTCGTATCCTTCGCAGCATAGAAATGAATAATAAATAGCACCTATAGATATATATAATTAGTAGGTGATAAGAGATGAATTCATGTCAAAGATCCTCTACCTTGCTCAACCTATCATAGTTAATCTCATTTATCAGGAATGGATACAGTAAAAAGAGGTTCTCTTAATATTTATCTTGGACTCACCTACAAGAAATCGTCGAGTGGTTCTCCTTATTAAGTTTTCCGGAAATGCAGATGCATGATTTTTTTCCATCGGTCTACTAACAATATCAATATTAATAATGCTAATATCGATGTAAAAAATACTAAATTGTATTGGTATTGGTAGTATTCGAATCCTCACATCCCTACTTAGACTATCAGAAGGATCATTTCAATAAGGATAATGATTCGACAATTTACTGCAGCTGAGTCCTAGAGAAAGATTCATGAAAGCTCATTTAATTGTATACTTTCCTGATAAATAAGATTATCTATGATAGATTGAGGAAAAGACCATAAACCTTTGAAATAAAATCATTTATTATTATCGATCTATAGGTACTATTTGTTATTCATTTCTATGCTTTGAAGGATACGAATAATTAAGTAGACGCTCGAATTCCATTACCGAATATGGATATGATGAAACCCGGGTAGTACCGAACCCGGATATGACCGAATACCGGGTACGACCGAACCCAGGTAGTTCGGGCTCGGTGCATGCCTACGCATACGCGTATACCGTCAGTTAATGAAAGCTTCTTTCACAGGCACATTTTGCTTTCGAAAAATGTCACAGTAGCTGTATTACAACTTGAGCCAACCAGAAGTTGTCGGTGTGCCACTGCTCCACTGAACACCGATGTCGATGCGGTCGATGCACCGAATTTCAGTGTTTCACTGAACCTCAGTGCTTCAGTGAACGCTGACTGAATATTTTCGGTGCTCTCAGTGGAGTCGGTGTCAGTGAAATCAGTGTGTCAGTGCTCCACTGAGCACACTGTCGGTGTAGTCGGTGCTCAGTAAACCGACACTGCACATCCCTAATCAACACTTAGCACTTTTCACTCAACGACACGATCTGACCCACCATTTTCACGTTGAATAGAACAAGAATCATGCATGCTGCTTTCGAATACAATAGATTTTCTCAGGATTCACACAGTGCAGATGACGACAGCACCAATCAACTTTGAATATTTTATGAGATGCAATGTCCATATTAGAGTAACATGATTTTCGACCAGAACAATTCATACAACACTAAGATCTCTTTTCATTAAAAGACAATGACGCGTATTCTTCTAACATTTCAAACCCATATGCGCTTCCAATTGTAAAGGGCATAGTGAAGGCTGCATACATTTAAAAAATGGTACCCGTGTCTCTTGCAGTAATGAAGAGCAATGGGATACACTGGTAAAATCCTATTGGTTACTCATATGTAGAACCATTGCGATCCGTAAAAAGAGTACTGCTCAAACTTTTCAAACGTACATTCCTTGCCGTTTTATAGGGATAGGTAAAAGCTGCATAGGTTTAAAAAATGGCGCCGATGTCTCTCGAAATAACAGATTGCAGCGGATTCCTCCTAGCCATCGAACGACATTTGTGTACCAAATACTTTTTTGAGGGTTTTGCCAGAGTCAGAAAGCGATAGTGATCCAAATATGACATAGTATGATACTACACTCAATTACCTTTAAAACCATATAGAAATGCTAGGACCTTTCTGTTAATTTTCAAATAGAACCGATTTTGGTAACATATTCACCCCCATCATTGAACTCTCATGAGCAGAAACCACAATGTAGGACTGGCATTAAATGTGAGGACGAAATTGAACTTGGGACTTGGCATGCAGGTTTCCATACACATACAGATTGAAGAAAGCAAGTGTTATCGATGTTTCTGATAGTGAAAGGACAGAAACGTGCGCAGAATTGAATTCCACAGCCGTCTCAATTCTGATATGTCTACGCAACTAGTTTGAATAGGATGAACATCGCAATCTTCTGCTTGTATTCTGATGCATCTTCAGAGGCGATAGCAATTTCTTTAATATATTGTTAAAAAAATAATAATTAAATACAAAAAAAACAGCCATAACTCACGTAAATCTCTGTAGTGGCGCATTATGGTCGACAAGTTTGTAAAAAATATGTGAGATTACTACTTTAATATTTCCAACATCTTTTTGACAGTTTTACAGTTAACAGTGATTTTTCCAATCTATATTATTTTTGTATACAGTTGTGTTTTGATTTCAACCGGCTCTTTCAATCCCGTGCATCATTCACATTTCTCAAACCTTCTGAATGTTCAACAGCATTTGGAGAACGTGCAAGATCCACCATGGAATGTTCTTGCTGGCTATATCTCTCCAACACAGTATGTCGTTTTCATTTTATCTTGATTTCATAGTATTCATCTATTTTTCATAGTGACTTATATGTCCACTCCAAATTGGGAGATTCGGCATGGATTCCAGCTGACGATCATTGTCGACTCTGTGATCAAGTTATCCAAAACTATGAAGGAGCAGAAGTATCATCTTGGATAACTGTAGCCCGAGGTGAAAGCGAATGGTCAGCTGGATTTGTCGATTTCCCTCCTGTGCGCGAAAATCTTCGTGATTTTCTAAATAACACTTTAGTTACACAGGAGAAGCTGCTAAAATATCCATTGCGTGTAGTCTATGCCTGCAGCTTAGATCATTTCAACAGATGCCCTGAAATTAAAAGACTCACTGAAAGCACCAATATGGCCTGTGCAGTTGTCTATCGGGTTGGTGAAGATGAAGAGCAAATCTTCGAAGCAACCAGGTCGCCCAATATAATTTACGTGCCATTATTAGATCAGCGCCATACACTTTCCAATTTAAGCTCGACCCAAATCCGAAAGTATTTTCAAAATCCGAATTCTGCTACAGAACCGTTCATTTATCCAAATGTTTACGAATACATGTCAAGACGATTTCAAACATAATTTACAGTTGACTCTTTTTACATCAACAAGTAACGTGATGTGCTGCACCTCGCTTAGCCATCGATTGTATCTTGCGTACACAATAAAAATGTGGAGAATAATAAACTGTTTCAGACTTTATGATAGGGCAACGTTGAATAGACCGTTTTTACCACATGTGAGAATTTTCGTTAACGCTGCAAGGGTTTGTTATTCTACAAGTTTTTTCAAAAGTATAGCCATGCTTTGTCATTGCTATCTGCATTCCATTCTTAGAACTGTCAGAGAAAGAACGCGTTCCAAGCGAAAAACTGCAAGATGTCGTTATCAATGACCGTTCTAAGAAACGAGAGGACCTGAGCAATTTCGTTGGTAAAATAACACAACACAATTCAACATACAAGTGACCGTCGTTCCTCAGCTGTTATTCGAGCCGCTAATTCTTATAACATCCCTTTTGCATGATCATGTTATAATATTAATAACTGCTCCACCATGATGCTCGGATCGTCTTTGAATGGTATTGAAGACATCAGTAATCATCTTCGCAGTATACACATGTTAACGAGTATGCTGTCTACAATATATAAAATAAACCAATACCTTAGGGTGAGACAACCCATACCGAATTATTGCGCGTACAGCAGATAAGAATCATGAGATGCGAGCTACTTGTTTGCTTTGTCTGAGCTTAAGGTAAATTTTTTCTCATATCGCGCTCCATCGCTATGAGAAGTTACCATATCGGAGGGCTATCTAAATTTCAAACATTCCACGAAGCATTTTCCTCGAAATATTTTGAGACAATTGAACATTTTGCATGCTTCCATGGACAGAATATTTCCGGAAAAAAAATCTCATCCCCTAGACAACTCTTGAAGATCCATTTAAGCTATGCCACACATCCAATTGGAGAAAATTCAGCGCTTATTATACATTTAACAGTTCTTAAGGGTATGGGTGGGTATGGGTGTGGGTTTAAACGAATGCAGTAAAAGAGATGCAAACCCACACCAACACCCACACCCACACACCCTCAACGATGAGAATTTATTTTTTAATTCAAATCCACTGATAGATTATATATTCATTATGTCCAAACATGTTCTAGAATCTAACTGTGATGTAAACAATGTAGAAGTTTAGAAGATTTGCAATAATTATATCAAACTAATGAAACGCTGCATGGTTGTTTCGTAGTTGTTATTTGCCTGAAACTGAAGAGGGTATGGGTGTGGGGTCTGATTCTACGTTTTTTTTCTTTTTATATCTCGACACGCGCACCCACACCCTCAGGACTGAGTCGATTCCTGAAAAGCAAAAGCTGGAATTAGCAGATTGAACTTGTTTTTTTTAGAGGTAAATGATTCGTTGGTTGGTTTTGTTTCACCCACACCCCAAGAATAAATAGTACGAGTTCATCCAAATTTCGAAGTTTTTTTATCAACGGCAAATAATCCCACTAAGAAAAGCTTAAGATGGAGACTGATGTATAAAATCTGTACATTCAACATCATTATTTTAGGGAATTTAACCTATTATGTGCACTCGCTTTTTCTCATGAAATTTTAACGGAAGAGTAGCCTAAACTAAAGTTTTTGAATGATCACAGTTATGAATTTGATGATTTATGCTTCATGTAGATAGCAAGTTTTAGTTTGTTATCCATACATTTCTTTTTATTTCATTCATTTCAAATGAAAAAAATCGCATTTCAGTAT